AAAGTAGATCATAACTATATTTATGATAATTTTCCAGGCAAATTTGCCTGGAAAAGCCTACAGTTTAAGGGATAATAGACGCCAAGCAAAATATTACATGCAAAATTCGAAATATCGAGAAACTCTCAATCCATAATATATATTTAAGAATATATTCTAACGGTTAATACTGACAAATCCATAATATTCACCAATACAACTATCAATTTTAATAAAATATCAGCTGCTATCAAAAAATCGTTGTAAAAATTTGTTATACTCAAGAAATGTTTAGTATTTGGGTATGTGTAAATGCATGCATTCATACATTCATACAGTATATTCATGACAATATATTCGTGATAAAAGATTGTAAGTTAGCCACCACTATTTATACCAAAATACTAAGCCTACTTGGCTGAACTCGCGTCGCTAGTTCTGTGGTTATAATGTTTTGAGGAATGCCAAAACAATCAAAGCCTATTTAATGAGTTACACATTCTTAAATACAGAGCCAGAATAAGCCACTCTCATTCATGAAACTTTTTGAAAAATAAACTTTTCGTGTGATCTTATGTCTACATTAAAACCTTTAGAAAAAAGTGGAAGACAGTCACGCAATGTGAGCAAATCTAATCGATCCAGTGTATCTGAAAGTATAGTGGAAGAAAACACTAAAATAGCTAAACTTTTTAGCCCAGAGGGTGAAAATACAAGTTTTAGCTATCAGAGTAATGATGATATATATCTTGAAGATTATCGTGAAGGAATACCAAGAAATAAAAAAAAACGCAGAAAATATCTCTGCATCGTGTGTGGACTGTTTGGTATATTGATAGTCGTTGTTTGCATAATAGCTTATGTTTTAAACATTCAACATGAATATATGTAAATGAATCTTGATTGAAAAAAATATATATATATCAATTTCTAATATAAAATTATTTTATTGTGTATAATGCCATGTCAGATTGCATAGGCGCAATACACTCTTGTAATTTGGTATGTGATTATTGCTACATCTATATTTAAGAATTCTTATTTTCTTTTAGTTTATATATTTGAACCTTTAAATAACTGATAATAAAAAGGTGGCTATTTATTGAATTCTAGGACGAAGGTTTCTTACCTTATGGTTTGTTAGCGCGAACTTTATTATTGAGTTTAGTTTGCATTGCTTTATACGTAGAATTACTACATAGCCAATTGAGGTGTTGAGGTGTATGATAATCTAATTATTCCATATTTTTTTATATATATACAGTATAATTGATTTTGATTAGTTAAACACATTTACTAAAATGCATTTATAGTGCCTTAAAAACTGGCTAATTAATTGGTATGTGATGCACTAAACACTGTAAAAAATATTCGATATCTTAAAAGCCAATTTCAAATCCTAAATCTATTCTTAAATATTAACAAAAAAAATTCAAATTAAAAAACTTAAAAATGATAAACGTGAATTTATTTAGAAATCATCGTAATTTGGAGATTGGAAGTTGGAGATTAGTTTTTTTTAGTACGCATACTAAAGTCGTTTGAGAAATCGTGTACCCAGTGAATTTCACATCCAGTGAGAGTTAAAAACTACCTTTTTTAAGAAAAAAAATTATTTTTTAAATTTATTCAGTCAAATTTTTACCAAGTAAAAAGTTTGAGAAAATGGGCACTGGAGACTGTATAGCGTAGTATTTTACTTGAACAAGTTTACTTAAAAGTGAAAACAGTAAGAATTGCTCATAAATAAATGAAATAAATGAAATAAATGAAATAAATGAAATAAATAAAATAAATGACATAAATGAATTTAAATGTTTAGCATCTTCTAACTTGATTGATCATAAAATTTTACGTCATTCTAACGCTAAGGAATTTTATTGATCTATTTAATCGATCTGGGCATTAAAGTTCATAGTAATCATGATTTTATAGTTTAACACTCAAGGTTTGCATAAGTTTAGATTGGTGTCATTGTAAAGACGATCGACGTAACAATAAGTCGACTAATGATTTGACTAACCTGAATTAATTAGCGACATCTTTCCTGACTGGTATTATCACGTACGTATGTACTACGCACGTGCGTACCAATCAGGTTTTTTGGAATTTTTGGTCAAAAATTCGAAAACATTTGGCGTTAAAAACATTTGTAACGATGCTTTCAGAGACATCACCACAAACAAGAAGTTGGCTTAAGACGAAGATTCAAAATATTAAGAGAACTGGTTTACAATTTTCTGATGACATTTTAATATCCATACTTGTTTGTCTCATGTCAAGAGACAAGCATTTAATGTTGACATGCAAACAAGAACATACCGAAGAATTAAAAACTATGGTTGAACAGATCTTTCATAATGTTTTTGGCTTGAGTTGTGCAACTGTCACTTGCGATACCTCGCAAACTCCTGCTGACTTTATTGGCAATCTTTTTAGTCGACCAAAAGACGATAATTCTTATTCTTCAAATAGTACTCATATTGGTAATTCCATTCAAAATAGTGCTGAGGAGTCATTTAATCGTTTACAACCACAAAAGTCTTACAGATCATTAATAACAACAAGTTCGACAAATTCATTTGAGAAAAAACCACCCCAGGAATTTAAAGGAATAAAACGACAATCTAATTTATCTTATAGCCCTAGTCATCCATATCATAATACAAATTCATCTATAGACTCTAGTTTTAGTGATGACGATGAATTATCAATTAATGAAGTTGATGAATATAGCTCACGAAAGGTATGGGGTAATGTGTTTAAATTTGACAAATATATATATATTTTTTTTTCTTTACAATGTCATCATGAGATATACTTACTTATTTATTCCTTATTTACTTGGTTTACTTGGGATAGTTGAATGGACGTTCTCGAACTCTTGATAGTCCTAAGGAAACAAATTTCGTTTCATCAAACTCCCATCCACGTAGGAGAAATACTTATCTCGCATCTCCAACGTCAACTCAACCTATTGACATTCCACAACGTCCAACTCTTAGCATATATACTGGTTCTCCACGAAAAAATACTTATTCTTCAAATTATTCACACTTAAACTCTTATTCTCAATCTCCAAATACTCCAATTGACTTTTCAAGTTCTAAGAGAACGCATGGGAGTATAGGTACTGGAGGTTTTGATTCATATTCTCCTCATAATTCTTCGTCTCGAAAATTGGCTCAAGCTGTGATAATTGAGAGTTTATCTAATGCTAATGAAATAATATTTGCATTTTTACTGGAGGTAATTATATTATTATAAATTTATCGTCAATTTCTGATTAAACATTGATTTTTTTAACTTGTAGATTCTTGCACATAAAGAAGTAGCCGATAAATCAACAACTTTTTATTTGCCAAAACCATTTCTTATTGTAGCTTTATTGCCAGAAACATATCCAAGATATAGTCTACCTAATCAATTGGTAATATATTGTCCAATTATATTTTTAATTTTCTTTACTTTTCAAATAATCTTTACAAGACTTTTTACAAGACTAAATTTTTTTTTTCATTATATTGAAAGATGGATAGATTTTTCATAAGCTATATGTACGAAGGAATAATAGGATTTGGAAAATCACCAATTGTTAATCGACGGAATCCAATGATTAAGGAAATGGTATTTAACTTTTAAGAGGAATGCACTTTGATTCATTTATGTTATTAAAGGCACCTTTACACATCTAAAACTCATTCATATTGATTATCTAGGACATTGACAAATTATCAAAAGATATGGATAATGTTTCGGTTCATAATGACATGCAACGATATATGCGAGATATTGTTGTTGGATTACGAACGCATAGAACTGTCAAAAGAGGCATAACGGCTCGAGCTTCAACCGATTTGGTAACATTTGTAAAGTAAGTTTTTAAATTATTTGTTTATTATTTGTTTATTATTTGTTGGTTAGTGAAATATAATAAATCCATTAATAAAGTTATTATAATTTCTTAGGGCGTTGGCTGCTGTATTTCAGCGTAATTATGTAACACCAGAACTAGTGTTATTTGCAAGTGAGAAAGTATTTTCCCATAGAATTGTATTACGAGAAGTGGGAGATGATAAAAGTACAATGTATGGAACAAATTTGAGAACTTTGTTAAAAAAAGTGAGAGGCCCTACAACATCGGGAGATGTTATTGCGGATGTTTTACGAGCTGTTTATCCTCCTGTGTAAAATTTTAATATATTCTTAATAACTATAATAATTATAATTATTGTATAGATATAATGTGATAAAAGATTATTGGTAATACTGTAATAGATATAGATATATTTTAATGCATGCATTTAACATTAGATTTCAATAATATTTATCAAATCATTTTTGTAACTTAAGTTTTATTTGTATAATAGTAAATAACAATTAACAACTTTGCATTAAAAATATCTATTTGACTTGATTATTTTTAACTTTTAGCTGAAAGGTATATCTTTCTGATATTATGATGCTGTAGGGAATCGTAAAATCTATTCATCAGTTACAAATATATTTATTTATATTGTTATAAAAAAAAAATCAATTAATTGCATTGGAAAAAATGTAAAAATATCGAAGTTGTATATGGCAAATATGTGAACTTTAATAGTCAATTTGAATACAAAGATAATAATCAAAGTGTAAAGTGATAAAGTTTCCAAAACTTTTTCGTCAAGCAAATCAATTCATATTGATATCATTGATTATTATTACCATAATCATTATTAAACTAACGCTAAAATTTTATTAATAAACAAATAATAGATATTTTATCATTATATAATATATTAGAAAATATTCGAAAATTGTTTCAGTTTTTAAATAATTTCTTAGGTTACTATATTAGTCTAATCTGGGGAATATAAATAGTTTGGTTTAGTCTAATCTATTTTGATTCATTTTGTTCTGGCTTTTACAAAACAATTTCTTTAGGTTTAGATTGACTGTAATCTATTAGTTTAAGCCAAAATACCTAATATGTATCTCTAGCAAGATCTTATTTTTAATATATAATAATAATAATAAATAAAATTGCTATGATGAAAACGAAAAAACTGTTATATAAACTGAATATACGATCAAACTTCAGTTATATCTCCACTTGGTTACGTCCCAACCTAGGTTATATCTTCGCCATTTAGTTCCTATGCTTATTAAATGTTACTTATATTATATCTCTAAGTTATATAACCGAAAACTCTGGACAAAAGGGAGCAATATAACTGAGACTTGACTAGCAATTTTTGTTAATTTTTATGATCTATGATCCAAGTAAACTTGTTTAGTGTAAAAATTTAAACATAATGGTGTCTAGCATTTAGTCTCAATCTTTTGTAAATTAAAAAAAAAAGTTAATTCGT